TGTTGATATCCCATTCCATTTCTGTGTCGTCAGAGAACATAGTCTGTAATATTTAAATCTTCAAATTTATTTTATAGCGTGTGATCCAGCCTGATGAACGTTCCCTGTGCACATGAAAAGAATGGATATTCTCCTGTTGTTGGCTGTAGTGTTCTACGTCAGGTCAGGCTGGTTGACAGTGTTGCTAAATCTATATCCTTGCTAATTTTTTATTGACTTTTTCTATCAATTTCTGAGAGAAGAGTGTTAAAACCTCTATGATTGTGGATTTTGTCTATTTTCTCCTGTAGTTCTACCATGCTTGCTTCATAACTCTTAAATCTCTATTACTAGTTAATTCATCTTCTTGATGAATTGACCTTATTATCATTATGTTTTCCCTGTTTGTTTCTTGTAGTATACCAAGAGGTATGTTTTGTCTGATAGTAATATAACCATACCAGCTTTTTAATACTTACTGTTGGCATAGTAAAACTTTTTCTTTTTCTTTGTTTTCAGACAGGGTCTCACTCTGTCACCCAGGCTGAGTGCAGTGACATGATCACAGTTCACTGCAGCATTGACCTCCCAGGCTCAAGCGATCCTCCCACCTCAGCCCCGTGAGTAGGTGGGCTACAGGTCCACACCACCACATCTGGCTAATTTTTTAATGTTTTTATAGAGATGGGGGTCTCACTGTGTTACCCAGGCTGGTCCTGAATTCCTGGGCCCAAGTGATCCTCCTGCCTCAGCTTCCCAAAGTGCTAAGATTATAGGTGTGAGCCACCACATCCAGCCTAAAACTTTTTTCATCCTTCTACTCTTACCTCATTTGTGTTTTTATATTTAAAGTGAGTCACTTATAGACAACTTATAGTTCGGTTTCCTTTTAGATCTAGTTTGACAGCCTCTGCCTTTTAATTGGAGTATTGCATCCATTTACACTTAATGTAATTATCATTATGGTTAGGTGGAAGTCTACCATCTTGCTACTTATTTTCTACTTGTCACATCTGGCTTTTTGTTCCTCTGTCACTGCTTTCCTGTCTTTTTTGGTAAATCTTTTTTAATATTTAATTTTGTAGCCATCCCTGTGGGGATGTCAGTGATGCTCAGGCCCCACTACCTGCACCACTGTCCTACTGCATCTCCTTTGAGCCTCCTGTCAACCTCTGCACACAGGGCCTCAGCCCCTAGCCCCGGATGCCTACCACTAGACCCAGCAGAACCGTAGCAGTGGTTTGCTGGCCCAGCACCTAAAGCCGCAGAATATGCCCCCTTGGCCCTCAGGGAAAGATGCAGAGCTAGTGCGACTTACTCTTCTCCACCACCAAAGTAAGGTGAGTTTACCCCCTCCCTCATCCCAGGATCCTCCCTGAATGGGCCAGGGGCTAACACATCTCAGGACCACCAGCCTCAGCCCCTCCCAGTGCCTTGTTAAAGGTGAGAGCACTGGTGGAAAGAAAGGCTGCACGCCAGGGCAAGAGCAGCTTCTGAGGGCCTCCCGAAGGCCAGCCCTGCCTTCTTGGAGGGAGGAGTATATGCCCCCAACCTCCGCTTTGCTCTTAGTACTTGGGCCACAGTATCCTGGGTGTAAAATGGGGGTGATCCTCTCCATGCCACAGGGTCCTGAGGGTCATACACAACCGTGCCCCTAAAGCCCCTGGCACAACACCTGACTGGGGCACACGGGCAACACACCGGCAACAAACAGGAGCTGGGAGAGTTTCCTGTGGCTGCCAGAACAAACACCGCAAACAGGCGTGGCGGTGGGGGTCATGCACCTGACATTTATTTTCTCACCGTTCTGGAGGCCAGAAGTCTGAGATCCAGGGGCCGGTAGGGCCACACCCACTCTGAAGGCTCCGGGGGAAGCAGCGTCCTGGCCTCTTCCAGCTCCCCATGGCTCCAGGCTCCTGGGCTTGTGGCTGCATCGCTCCTGCCTCTGCCGGTCTTCACGTGGCCTCTCCTTATGTGTCTTTTCCTCTCCTCCTTAGGACATTTGTCGCTGGATTTAGGGCCCGCCCAGAATCCAGGAGGGGCTCATCTTCAGATCCTTAATTACATCTGCAAAGACCCTTTATCTAGGTAAGGTCAGATTCACAGGTCCCGGGGGTCAGGACATGGACATATGTTTTTGAGGGCGCCATTCAACCCGCAACAGGAGCCATCGCATTCTCATTTCTCCTCCCTTAATGTTTTCACGGGCCCAGCACACAGGCCAGGATGGAGCATTCTTTGAGATGTTCCTGGGAGCCCAGCAACAGACTGGGTGTTCAGTGTGCCCCCGTCGGTCTCCATGTGGGCCCTGCAAGAAGGAACACCCCTGTTTTACAGGGGATTCAGGGCTTGTGGCCAGATCTGCAGCTAGGCCTGGATAGATCTGCAGCTAGGCCTCCCAACTGGCCCCAGTGCATCTGCCGTGCCCGTGACCCCAGGCTGTGTCTCTAAGAATCCACCAAGGTTCCAGGGCAGATCACTGCAGAGCTCCTCGCAGTCCTATGCACGCCTCGGCTCACACTGCAGCTCAGCGGCAGCAACGCAGGCGACAGAAGCCAGCCCTGTGTCTGTGAGCCTCTGCCTTGCCTTCTGGGGGATGGCACAGTATTGCTCCAAGACATGCAGACAGCTGTGGACAGCAGAGACAGTGAGGCAACCCTGCCGCACTCTCCAACCATGCCCTCCTCAGCCATGCGGAGAAAGCACCCCTTCATCTGTGCAAGCAATCCTCAAGAAGTAGGCAAAATTCACGCACTTTTACTTCAGATGTTACAGTCACATCCAATGCTAAGGGCTGTCCTTTGAAAACAGCTGATGTACACACATCTTCCAAGAACAAATCATGGAAATGTTACCAGGTGATTGTCTCCACAACCTCTGCCTCAGTGATGGGGACTTGGGGTGAGCTTTTGGTTGGCGTTGTGAACAGTGCCCGCTCCCTAAAGCAAGCTTTCTTTTCTGTTGTTTGAAATACGGCAGGAGAACTTAAATTCTATTAAAATATTTCCAGTTCAAGAGAAATACTTTTTTGCCCCAATTTAATTCAGGTTTCTAAAGCAGAGGCAGGGACAGCATCACAGTCTGTTGAATGAATTCCGGCTCATTTGGGGCCTTTCCATGACAAATCGCTCCTAATGGAATCTCTCCGAAGCACAGGGAAAAACATCGAAGGCATCAGAGTGCCCTTTCCATTTCAGTAAACACTGGCCGGGATTCTGTTTGCATCACACAGAATCGACGTGGAACCCAGGCCTGCCCAGCACATATTCTCCCTGGCCAGCACCTCGTTCACGTCTGTTTTCTCTTTTATATGAGTGACCATTTCCTAAAACGCAACACCCTGTCAAGTAAGATCTTGGAAATTATCACCATGGAGAAAACACCTGAAGAATCTGCATTAAAATAACGTGACCGGTGCCTAGAGTGAGGAAGGAGCCCGTTCAGAATGGTCCTGGGTCATTTTCAAGACCTTCCCCCAGTCACTGTTGGGTGAAGTGAGGAAGCTGGACATCAGTGTTTATTAAACCAGATTTATTCTCCACAAGCTGAAGATACCTGAGGTTACATGAGGACTGGCATTAAATAATGTATACATGTATTTCTGACAGGCTTTTATCATGAGGATTCCTGTATTTACAGAAGCAAAACCCAACCTCTCCCCAGCTAGAAAGTGGAAAGCTGTTCCCGCTGCAGGCGCAGCCTTGCGGGAGGATGAGGCCACACGGTTCTGCTCCGCCCACATTCTCAGACCGCCCCAAGGAGTTAGTGGCTACGCAAAGCTGAGCCTTGTGGGAAAACCTGGTCCATGGTGTGGACTCTCCAAAATGCAGACCCAACCAGAGACTAGGCCCAGCTTTCCATCTGGAGGCACTGCAGAGTTTCTGAAAGTGGCCCATCCCAGGAGCCTGGCAAACACCCCCAGAGACCCTCAGGATGAGCCAGCTCTGGGGCTGCGTCTTGGGAAGCCAGGGCTCCATGGCCCAGCTTGTGGATGGGTGCCCAGGGGGCAGGCCCCACGCCCTCAGCACGTGCTGAGATGCTCCCTCCAGCTCCAACAACCACACCAGAACCTTCCATAGAACATTTAAGTAATGAAATCTCAACATTACAGTAAAAAGGTGCAAAGGGTCTCTTTTGCAAATATTTCTGTACAGCTAAGATCTTGCTGAGTTCAGTAAAGCATCTTGCACGTACACATGTGCAGTGCGCACGCGAGTTCCGGGAAACTGAACGGCACACTGCAAGACGAGATCATACATGATGGTATTTTCCTGTTGATCCCGTGTAGTTTCCTGAGCATTGTATTTTAGATGGAACTTTTTCTGGTCTGTGATCTTTGGTAGAAAAAAGGTCTCTAGGATTATTATAAAAATTTTACATTTACTAAAAAGAAAAGGAAAAAAGACAGCTTGCCTCAGCTGGCCCAACCCCTGTCCCAAACACCTGATCCCAGGGTGGTCCCCTCCATCTGAGTAGGCCCTGTCCACCTTCTCTGATGGGAGAGAGACTACAGTGGTTACCTGAACCACCCTTCTCCCAGGCCTCTCTGGAGGTCCCGGGGCCCCCGGCTCACTGTCATGTGCCCAGCCCAGTGTTCCTCGGTGACTCATAAGGACTGGGTGAGTGAATGAATGAAGTAAGGAAAGGTAAAACCAGAGACGTGAGGGCCACGGGTCACCTGTGACTCGGCCAAGCTGCTTGCTTCAGTGCCAGCCCCTGGTTGTGGATTCCAGAACTTTCTAGGCAACACACAAAGTAACCTCCCAGCAGAGGTTATCACAAACAAGATGCAGCTGCCCGCCTGAGACACACCCCAACAGGAAACACCCTTGGTGCAGTCTAACCGGGGTGCCCGAAGGCCTGAGAGAAGGTGCGTGGCCATGGGTCTTGCGGCTGGCCACACGGTAAGCGGGCTCCACGCCGAGCCTGGGCTGCCCTGTCCCGCCACTCCTCTGGGCTTCTGATCCTGGCGGGCTCTAGGGGGCAGCCTGTCCCCACACATAGGGCACGGTTCCACTCGGCAGGCTCAGCCATGTTTACTCCCCTTTCCAAATGGCGATCTTCCCCTCCTCCCTGCCCGACCCACTCAGCACGTATCTGTCCTCGGCCGAGCACAGTGTCCTCACGGTGTCCGTGTGCGCCACCAGCTCCTTCTCCACGGTCTTCCTCTCCGCATCAATCACGTAGATTTTCCCCCTGGGTATTCCCTGCCACAGCCCTCGGCTGCCCACCCAGACCTGCCAGGGAGACACAGGAGTGGTCAGTGGGGAAAGAAGCCCCTCCCAGGCATGCCAGGGCTTTGCCTGGCTACCCGGAATGGACGCGTGTGCCTCCAAATCTACGGCCTTCCTGGAGAGGGGCTCTGCCGCCTGAGGGTCAGGGCCACCTGGCAGGTGCAGAGGACCTTTCTCAGGCTTAGAACTTAATGGCCAAGGGGCCTCTAGGGAACAAGACTGCACTGCATGCTAGAAAGGTGCTGGGGGGTGCATCTTAAGTGTTCTCACCAAACAAAAAACGCCACCTGTGTGACGTGACAGATATGGTAATTAGCTTGTGATTGTTTCACAATGTATATCGAAATATCACCTTGTATACCTTAGATATATATAATTTTGTCAATTATATCCCAATTAAGTTATGGGGGAAAATGCTAAATGAATTCCCCTCTCCCGCCCCCGCCCCACCATGTCTCAGACTTGCTCGGGGCCTGGAAGTCCAGCTTTCCTTCCAATTTCTCCCTTTTCAGATGAGAATGTCTAGCCTCTGCCTGGCCCAGCCTTGTATTTTGGGAAGAGATGACTGTTTCTAGCTGCGCAGGTTCACCGTGGAAGAGAGGTTAGTTCTGCCCCAGGTGGGACCCGCCCACAGCTCACCCACATCGGAGGGCACTGGCTTCACTTGGAGATCTGGGGCTCAGAACTGATGCTGGCATGGGCTAGGACTTCGGGGGATGCAGTGACGGAGGGGGTGTATTTTGCATGTGGGACAGATGTGGATTTGGGGGGCCAGAGGGCAGACTCTAATGGGTTGAACGGTGTCCCCCCAAATCCATGTCCTCCCTGAACCTCAGAATGTGAGCTTCTTTGGAAACAGTCTGCAGATAGTTCAGATGTGGTTAATCCAGTATGACCAGCATCCCCATAAGAGACACACACACGGAGAGAGAGCGCCGTGTGGCGCAGGCACAGATTAGAGTGCCACGTCCACAGTCAGGGCACGCCAAGGATGGCGGCCACACGAGCGGGTGGCGGAGAGAAGGGCCTGGAGTGCACGCTCCCCCCGAGCCCCCAAGGGAAGCAGCTCTGGTGACACCTTGGTTTTGGACCTCCGGCCTCGAGAACTGTGAGAAAATTAAATTCTGTCATTTGAAGCCATCCAGTTTGGGGGAATGCACTGTGGAGTGCTTGGACCACACCATGAAACCAGCACATGGTGACCTGTGGGCCCGCTGGTGCCAACCCTGCGCGTGCCTATTAGGAGGGGGGCCTGAGAGGCTAAGGCAGGAGGGCACGAGGGCGTGAGGCTGGCTCTCGGGAGCATGGGGACGCGGTCAGGGCAAGTGAGACCTGGAGAGGATGCAGGGGGTGGCGGGCCCTCTACCCTACCTGCTTCTTCACCCGGATCATGCAGATGATCTCAGAGCAGTCCTTGAGGGGCACCCTCTGCGGGGGCTGGGCCAGGTCCTTCAGGCTCCAGATGTAAACCTCGCTGCGTCCTGCACAGGCCGCCCACAGCTGCTCCTGCTAAAACACAGGGCACAGTGTGGGCTGTGGGCCCCGGGCCACGCGCATGCTAGGCCCACAGCCCCTGCTGGGATACCTCGGGAAGGAGCTGGAAGGCCAGGAAGGAGGTACTGATGTCTTTGAAGTGCTCCTCAATCTTCAATTCTTGACAGAGGAATCCATTCGTTGTCATGACCATGATGCTGTTACCTGTGCCTGCGGAAGGAAGGCGCTAGGATGGGGCTAGGAAGCGCCATTGGCAATGTAAGAGGCCAGCACCAGAGCCGGGCCCACTGCTCTTTCCAGCGTGGTGACAGGGGGATCGCCATGTGCCACATGGCACCTGAGGTGCGCACGGGTGAGGTCTACCAGGAAAAAATGCAAGATAGAAACCTGGGTCTTTAAGAAGAAATGAAGGTCACCAGAAAAGGTAAGTATGTGGGCAATTTCTTAATTTTTCTTAATTTTCTTGAAAGATCATTGACTGCTTAAGCAAAAAATTGTAAAGAATATATTATTGGGATTACCACAGTTGACACTGTTGTAAACTTCTTACCCTATCTGTGAAGCAGTATCAGAGTTAGTTAAGGAGGAGGGTGATCGGTTAAGGTTGCATATTGCAATTCTTAGAGCAACCACTGAAAAATAAAACAAAAGATAATGCTTAAAAACAATAAGATTAAATTGAACATAAAAATATTCAATACAAAAGAGGGCAAGAAAGGAAGACAAAACAAACAACAGATGAGGTGAAGAAGGACAATTGCTGGCTTGCACCCAACCACGTTGCTACTGGCCCTGAAAGCGAGCGGAACAGTGGGCAGGGGCCTGCATGGGCACTGTTCCAGAGGAGGCGTCGGTGGGCACCGGGCACATGACAGAGTGCTCAGCACCATCAGCCATGAGGGAGCCACAAATCCAAACCACAGGACACCACTTCACGCCCGCTGGGATGGTGTCAGTAAAAACAGGTGAGAACCAGTTTGGGTGAGGATGTGTAGAAACGAAGCCTGAGACTGCTGGTGGGGTGGAAGCTGATGCCGCCACTTCAGAAAACAGTCTGACAGTTTTTCAAACAGTTAAGCAGAGTTAACCCAGTGCCCACTTGGGGCAGGGGAAGGATGAGCAAGTTGTTCCATAGGCACACAATGGAATATGACCCTGCAAGAAGGAACGAGCTATTGATACTGATACTCAGAACGTCAGCGATGAATACCGTAAACATTCTGCTGACTGAATAAAGCCAGATACAGAAGAAGGCATACTGTAGAGTCCATTTATAGAAAGTTCTGTAAAAATCAAAGTCAGAGTGACAGAACTAAGAGCACTTGTATCCCTGGAATGGGAGCATGGCCTGGAAAGGGGCACAGACGCTTTCAGCTGTGATGGTAATGCTGCATATCTTGACTTGTTTCATGGTTATGTAGTTTAGATGTTTGTCAAAACACAACAAACTGAGCAGTTTTTGGCAGGCTTTACTATATGTGAAACATGCTTCCATTACAAAGAAGAAAATGTATTTCCAGCCGTCACTCATGTAATCTGGCACACGCCGAGGAAGACCTCAAAGTGCAGGCAACTTCCGTGCTCTGGGGTGTCCAGAAATGCAGACACAGCCGCCAGGCAAAGCACCTGCTCCTCCCATCACCCCCTGGCAAAATGCCCAGTCTGGGTCCACGGAGAGTCCCAGGCTGCAGCTCTGTGCCAAGCGGCCGAGGGTAACAGGGCACGGGCTTGCCAGCTGCCCCAGGTGTGGAGACATGACGCACACAGAGGCCTCCCAAGAGGAGCAGCCGTGACTCTGGGGGACACCTGGGCCAGCTTCAACCCCAGAGCAGGGCACAGCGAAAGCCAAGGTGAGGGGCAGGAGAGCAGTGGTGCATCCGGGCAAGGCAGGTGTCCCATCAGCCACCGGGTGGAAAAGCTGAGGGAGGCCTGGGGAACCTGCAGGAGCAGCAGTGCAGGTGGAGTAAAGGTTTCTGTGGCCACAGAAAGGGAACCCAAGTTTAAAATAAAGACTGGAAAGGCGTGAAGCAAAGGAAGGAGGCTTTCTGCTCTCGTTCAGCATCCTTTTCCCAGAGCAGGGAGGTAGGCTGCCCGCTCTGAGGGCAGGGGCCGGACTTACAGCACCACAGGCAGCCGCCGTGCAGTCTGATGGACGTGAGGCCGCCGCTCGACAGCTGGAAGCGGCTGGTCACCTGCAGTGTGCTCACATTCCACGCCAGCACTGTGCCGTCCATGCTGCATGAGTACACCTCGCTGGGGGCACAAAACACACACCCACACACCTTTAACTCGGGCCCTTGAAAACACTGCGCAAGTTTTAACCCAGGGAAGAACCAAGTCGCCATGAGAGAAAATGTGCTCAACATGGATAACCTGCAAACATGATAATAACGTGCAAACATACTGTGAATGCGGCCACAGCCAGGCTTGGCTCAAATGTAACTGACTCGGCAGAAAAAGACGGGTTTCTCGGGACATCCACCTCTCCCACTACTGCAAACCGCAGGCTTAGTGAGGTGTTGGTCATAGAACCACAACATGACCATGAACTGAAATGGAACCTCGTCACAAGGGACCAGGGAGCCAGCACGCTCCTCAGAGCTCTCAGGTGACATGGGTTGGCTGCAGGTGCAGGTGCAGGTGGCTGTGGGGCGGGGCTGGGCTCGAGCCTGCACCCTGAGCCACCCTTGCACCTCCTGAGCCAGCTTTGTTTCCAGGCTAGCACCTCCCTTCCCACCCCAGCAGGGCCTGACACAGGCACCCCTGACACTGAGTCAGGGGAAAAAGGAGTGGGGAGTGCAGCCCCTCCCCCAGGGCTGGGGCTGCCTGGACCAAATGGGCAGCCTTGAGCACCTTCCCCACCACGGGCCTCTGCTTGAGGAGACCCCACCTCCTCCTCCCATCTCCCTAGATGCCCACTGTGTCCACTGCTGCTCCCACTGTGGGACACGGCAACAAACCGGCAGCCCAAGGCCAACACTGAGCACGCAGGCGATTCCCAGGCGAGTCCAGGCTTCTGACACCATGGCTGGTGCTCCTCTGGGAGGCTGTGCCCTCTCGGGGCTGCCCCAGGCCACCATGCCCACAGCAAGCTCAGCAGGAAGGCCAGGTGTGGAGCCTTCATCACCACGCTTGGCCCCCGATGGTCTCATGGGTTCTCCGCACCCGTGAGCAGAAGCGGACGGAGGACACCACCCAGCTTTCCTCGTTCCAGATCCACTTCACTCTGTACGCCCTGCCTGGCCCCTGTGGGCATGAGCCTTGGAAGCCCTACCCGCTGTACCCTCTGCCCACCCATGAGCCAAACAATCCCTTCTCCCCAGCAGAGCCCACCCGCACCTGGGTGCCCTCTGTCCGTCCTGCACAATCAAGTCCGTGACACTGGAGCAGTGGTCTGTGAGCTGCTTGTTGCAGGACATGCTGTGGACGTTGATGATGTAGATGACGGAGTCTTCTGAGCCAACCCACACCTGGTTCTGGTCGGCCATCACCATGCAGTTCTAATGGGAGGCCACGGGAATGTGAGAAATCAGTCAGTCTCGATACTGGTGAAGTCATATTCTATACATTTACTGCAAATGCTGAATTAGCAGATATGGAGCCACTGCTCCTAGGGGGCACGCCGGCTCAGGGTCCTGGGAGCCTCTGGCCCTGACATTCTCATCCACCCGTCAGTGCCTAACCTTGTTCTCTGCGTGCTCTGTTTACAGACACCTCATTGACTATGTATGGTTGACTCATTAACACGGAACCCACGGCTGCCAGCACTATCACTGCGGCCTGAACCAAGCTCATCTCACACATGCATTTTCTCTGCAAGACACGCCAACGCCTCCTTGTGCTTAGGGAGCTCGATGCTTGAGGCTATCTGAAATGGCAAAATCACCAACAAAAAGCAAAAACACGTGAAAACCGTGGCACCAGTCAGGCCAAGGAAAGGACACCCATTGGCCCAGAAAATACACATTGGGCGACTCAAGTTTCTCCCCACTCTGTGCACATGCATGTCTGTGGATCGCCAAGAAAATGCCACGAGTATGTGTTTTGGGAGTTACAAGTAAATATTAGCAGGTAGTCGAATTTGCAAATACAGACTCTAAACGATGAGATCAATTATATATGAACGAGCAGAACTGGCAGTGCCCCCAGGGTCTAGAGGGTGTGCTCAGGGTTTCTGGCTAAGCAAAGTCAACACAATGATTGCGTTTGGACTTTTTGAAATCAGAATTTTTTAAATTTAAATTTTAATTTTAATTTTTTGAAACAGGATCTCACTCTGTCACCCAAGCTGGAGTGCAGTGACATGATCATGGCTCACTGCAGCCTCAGCCTCCGGGGCTCAAGTGATTCTCCCGCTTCAGCCCCCCGAGTAGCCGGGACTAGAGTCATGCGCCACCACGCCTGGCTAATGTTTGGCATTTTTAGTAGACATGGTGTTTCCCCATGTTGCCCAGGCTGGTCTCCAACTCCTGGATTCAAGCAATCTTCCTGCTTCGGCCCCGCAGAGTGCTGGGATTATAGGCGCGAGCCACTGCGCCCAGGCTTGACATGCTTATAACTAAGAATGAGCTGAAAAAAATTAAATTTAGAAAAATAATTTCCCTAATTTTTCCTTTTTTTTTTGTTTCATCTAAAGCATTACTAGACTTTTGTCAATATTTTTACTGTATCATGGATCTTATTTATCATCTGAGACTCATGATTTGAATACGAGGGGAAATGACTTAGCAATCTCTCATTACCTTGCTAACATGTAAAGTTTGCTATTCCGGTATCTCAGAGTGGTCCCACCCTCTTGGTGGTATGTACTTGAATTCACAGTATTTGTTTTATAGCAGTTTTGCAAGCACATACTGTACCATGGATTGCCACATTATTTTTAGACAAGGGAGCACAGCCATCAAAATTGATACCACGGCCGAGTGTAGCGGCTCACACCTGTAATCCCAGCACTTTGGGGGTCCGAGGCAGGAGGATTGCTTGAGCCCAGGAGTTTGAGACCAGCCTAAGCAGCATGGTGAAACCCACCTCTACTCAAAATACAAAAATTAGCCAGCTGTGGTGGTGCACACCTATAACCCCAGCTATTCGAGAGGCTGAGGCGGGGGGATCGCTTAAGCCAGGAGGTCCGGGCTGCAGTGGGCAGTGACTGCACCACTACACTCCAACCATGGGCAATGCGAGTGAGACCCTGTGAAAAAAAAAAAAGATACCAACCAATGCCTAGTATATACTTAGGTATATACTCCATTGGAGTGTTCTTTTCACATTAAACATGGGGAAAAAAAATAAATCCTATCATGCTCGAGGAATAAGGCATGAGCGTTTCTCGGCAGATCCCATGATGCGGTGGCTGCTTGGAGGGTGAACCCACTGGATAGGAGGACAGTATAGATGCGAAAATATTTTGAAAAGTATAAAATGCAATTTAAATGTGATAATCATCTGCAAATCTGTGAGCAAGAACAGAAGAAACATGGACAAAGGGCGCGTAGCCCACGGTGCGGGGGAGTGTGGGGCCGCAGAGCATGGGGAGCTACTCGGCGGCCTCTCGGGCAACAGGGAAGTGCACACAGATCTGCAGGGAGGGGCAGCTCCAGCTCTGACAAGCAAACAGGGAAAATCCCCAAGAAATGATAGTCTGGAGGCAGGAGGGGCCGCTGGAGGCCTGGAGGGATGAGCAGGGCCGGAATCCCAGCTTCCACACTCAGGATACCACGGTCATGGAAGAGGCGACACCATGGCACTGCCAAGGACACATTACTAAAAATGTATTAACAGTTGTACTTGTTTTAAAATTATCAGAAACAATTCAAACTTGCTTTAAATCGGGGGTATGCAATCTTTTAGCTTCCCTGAGCCACACTGGAAGAAGAATTGTCTTGGGCCACACATAAAATACACTCACATTAACGATCGCTGATGAGCTAAAAGGAAAAAGATTGCCAAAAAAACTTATCATGTTTTAAGAACGTTTACGAATTTGTGTTGGGCCTCATTCAAAGCCTTCCTGGGCCACGTGCAGCCTGCAGGCCACAGGTTGGACAAGCTTGCTCTAAATGAAAGGCCCAATGTGTGACGAGTGGACACTTGAGTTTTGCTGGGCCCTCGTCTCTGCCACCTGGCACATGGGGACAGGATAACACTCAAGTCACTGCAGAGGCAGTTGTCTCCCCTTTTGGTCCAAAAGAGACCCAGTAACCACTGTGCCACCAGGAAACACCAGGGTTCCCAGGAAACTCTGCAGGTTCATTTTAAGACCCTGGTCCATGGGAATCTTAGTGCTGTACGGGATGGAAGACACCGTTCCCAGCCTGGGCAACATGGCAAAACCTCATCTCTACAAAAAATACAAAATTAGCCAGGCATGGTGGCGGGCACCTGTAGTCCCAGCTACTCAGGAGACTGAGGTGGGAGGATCACTTGAGCCCAGAAGGTCGAGGCTGCAGTGAGCCGTGGTTGAACCACTGCACTCCAGCCTGAGCAACAGAGCAAGATCCTGTCTCAAAAAAGAAAAAAAAAGGAAATTGTTCCCAAAGGGTCATGTGAGGTCCCTAATAAGCAGGCAGAGACCACAATGGCTCCACTTCACAGAACTGACATCTATTTTTTTATTATTATTATTGTTTGTTTGAGACAGGGTATGGCTCTGTCACCCAGGCTAGAGTGCAGTGGTGCAATCCTGGCTCACTGCAGCCTCGACCTCCTGGGCTCAAGCGATCCTTCCGCCTCAGCTTCCCAAGTAACTGGGACCACAGCACGTTCCACCATGCCCGGCTAATTTTTGTAAAGATGGGATCTCACTCTGTTGCCCAGGCTGGTCTCAAACTCCTGGGCTCAAGGCAATCCACCCACCTCAGCCTCCCAAAGTGCTGAGATTACAGGTGTGAGCCCCTGCAATCTACCTTTATTTATTTATTTATTTATTTTTGAGACGGAGTCTTGCTCTGTCACCCAAGCTGGAGTGTAGCAGCCCGATTTCGGCTCACTGCAAGCTCCGCCTCCCGGGTTCACGCCATTCTCCTGCCTCAGCCTCTTGAGTAGCTGGGACTACAGGCGCCCACCACCATGCCTGGCTAATTTTTTGTATTTTTTAGTAGAGACAGGGTTTCACCGTGTTAGCCAGGATGGTCTTGATCTCCTGACCTCGTGATCTGCCCACCTCGGCCTTCCAAAGTGCTGGGATTACAGGCGTGAGCCACCGCGCCCGGCCGAAATCTATTTTTAGATGGGGGCCTGAAATCTACTTTTAGATGAGAAAGTCAAAGCCATTATCTTCTCCTTCAATAAGGACATGTAAGTAGAAGGTTGGAACAAGCTTACATTTAATTTAAAAACTCTAGGTAAAAGTTAAGACTCCTGTTTAGAGAAACTGAGTGATGCTGTGGAATAGTTTGTATTCTCCTGTCGAATATGGATGAACACACTCAGGTTTCAGAAATCACGTGAATCCAGAGGCTTCTTTCCTGACACTTCATGTACTCACCACTTTTGCAGTGCCCACTTTAAAGGAGTGCTGGTGGATGGTCCAGGAAGAAGCATCGAACACAGTCACCTTGCCATCGCTCAGAGCACACCATAACTTGGGGCGAGCATCTTCAACTTTTTCGGCTGGGTCCAGATGCCCTAAAGAAGAGAGAGCAGCCCAAAACTGTTCGGAGGGAACGCTTTTGCTGTAGCACCAGGTGACTGGTGCCATTACTCAGGTGTCTCTTGGACCCGCCTAAGCGCCAGGCCCATGTTAGGTGCTGGACATACAAAGATGTGCCTAGGCAGAGGCTGCCCTGCCCTCTGGGGCTCAGAATCAGAGGGGGCAGCTGGCTGGTGGGGGGGCCACACAGACAGGGGCAGAGCCACAGGCGGACACAGAGCCGAATGCCCGCGAGCTTTGCTAAGCCAGGAGCTGCCGGCTGAGTGACATTCACTAGAGAAAACAGCCAGGCAGAGGGAACCGGAAGAGGAGCAGGTGGGCACAGAGGGAGGGAGGCAGGGAGGGCGGGCAGCTGGAGAGATGGCGGCAGGGGCCATGGCGCCCCCCTCACCCTCGCATGCTGCGGGCTCCACATCCTTCTCAACACTTGGTGGTGTCCATCTTTTTAATTTTGGCCATTCTAAGGGTGTGGAGCTTTTGGCTTTTAAATTGTGCTTTAAGTGCATTTCTCTAATTGCTAATGAGCCTGATGGCTTTAACTAGCCATCCCCATGCCCTCCTGTGGGAAATGTCTGTGTCTCATTCTCCCTAGTTTGTAACTGTTATTATTATTTTTGCTTTATTTATTTATTTATTTATTTTTTTTTTTTTTTTTGAGACGGAGTCTCGTTCTGTCGCCCAGGCTGGAGTGCAGTGGCTGGATCTCAGCTCACTGCAAGCTCTGCCTCCCGGGTTTATGCCATTCTCCTGCCTCAGCCTCCCTAGTAGCTGGCACTACAGGCGCCCGCCACCTCGCCCAGGTAGTTTTTGTATTTTTTTTTTTTTTTAGTAGAGACAGGGTTTCACCGTGTTAGCCATGATGGTCTCAATCTCCTGACCTCGTGATCTGCCCGTCTCGGCCTCCCAAAGTGCTGGGATTACAGGCTTGAGCCACCGTGCCCGGCCTATTTATTTATTTTTTTAATAGACGAGGTCTTGCCATGTTGCCCAGGCTGGAATGTAGCAGCATTCACAGGTGCGATCACAGCAAACCACAGGCTCCGACTCCAGGGCTCCGGCCACCCTCCCGCCTCGCTGGGACCACAGGCACACCCAGCCAGCTGTCCTGGTGTTCTGGATATGAGCCCCTAACTGACTCCATGGTGCTGTATTCATAAATTACACATAAAAATACCATAAAGCAAAAGACTGGTGAATCTGACTACATTAAACACAATGATTTCAGCAGCAGCCATTTTAAAGACCCTTCCCAGTCTGCAACTTGCATCTGCAACCTCTCAGAAGTGTCTTCTGTCCATTTCCTGTGGCAGGGTCTGGGAAAGGGGCCGTAGGCACCGTGTCCGACCATGAAGATGGCAAGAAGCCTCCGAGACAGCCCAAGAAGCAGGCCCAGGAGAGGGACAGGGATGAGAGGCTTCCAGCAGAAAGCAAAACGGACCAGAACCTCAAGGGGCCGAAAGCACAGGCCGCAGGGAGGCCCAGCCACAGCTGGAACTAAGACCCCTGGCGGAAAGCACGTGCTCTCTGTGCCTGGGCGGTGGCGGCCTGGACTCCACTCCTGTTTCAACACCTGCATCCCTGCCAGGACAGCTTTTGCCATCTTCTCCTAGAGTGAGCATTGCCCTGCAGCCTGTTGCACATTCAAGAATAAACTTTAAAAATCTGACAGTGGCACGTCACGTGACACCTCTAGTGGCTTCTCACCGTCATTCCCACCTGAGCTGTGAATGTAAGGTAAAGCCGCCCAGAAGCCTGCCAGAGGGCGCTCTTTGGTCTTCTCCCCTCAATTCTGTATCACCATGAATTAAACCAGCTCATTTGAAAGGAGGAAAAAAAAGTGTCTTCTTTTTAAAATCATTGCTTTAGGCCAGCTGTGGTGGCTCGCACCTGTAACCCAGCACTTTGGAGGCCAAATCCGGCAGATTGCTCGAGCTCAGGAGTTCAAGACCAGCTTGAGCAACATGGCAAAACTCCATCTCTACAAAAATATATATATACAGAAATTGGCTGGGCGAAGTGGTGTGCAGCTGTAGTCCAGCTAATCAGGAGGCTGACGGGGGAGGATCGCTAGAGCGCAGGAGGCAGAGGTTGCAGTGAGGCGTGATCGCACCGCTGCACCTGGGTGACAGCCAGACCCTGTCTCAGAAAACATAAAAATAATAAAATCATTGCTTTTAATATAGTCAAATTCAACACTGTTTTCCTTTATGGTTAGTATTTTTATATACAATTTACAAATTTTTTCTTTACCATAAACTCATGAAAATATTCTTCTACCCTGTCGCCTAGAAGTTTGCTTGCTTTCATTGTTCACATTTGCCTGCTTTTACCACCGCATTTAGATTTCAGCCTCCTTGGGCCTGACCCCGGTGCGGTCTGAAGGGGCAAGGTTTCACCTTTCCCCCGAGGATATTCAAGCGACCCCCGGCCCTGGGGAGCTGCCTCCGTCCTGAGTCCAGAAGGGCAAGCCTCCCGGTCTCTCTGGGGTGCAATTCCAGTGGTCTGTTGCTCCGATGGGTGAGACACTGCCCTGAGGGGCACGCTCCCCCTGGGCAGAGCCTGGGCTGACCTGCGGCCTTACGGCCTGCGGGTTGGTTCTCCTCACTCCTTGGAACCTGTCGGAGACCCAGCCCCAAGCTAACGGGAGTAACAAGACTCCCGCTTCTTGATGGGGCTTGACCACCTCTTGTCCCTGTAATCCCAAAAGGCTTGCAAAAGCCCTGCTCGGCTACCAGCTTCTCGGCCACCCCTTCCAGAATTGGCAGCCACAGGAAAAGGCGGCTTCCCCGCTCTCCACGGCTGCTTTACACGCTCTCTGCAGGCCTTTGAGATGCTCCTGGAGGGGAAGCCGCCTGAACTCCTCGCCCATCACAACGGGAAGCCCAGAGTGAGTTTCATTTCAGGGAAACCAACCGGGACCTAAAAATACCATGCATTCAAATGCCATGGCCAAAGTGTCTTGATCTGTGGAGTTATCTCTGGCGAAGTCGGCACAGAGCCCGGCTTAGACACGTCGGGTCGGCCTCACGCGGGGTGGCCCTGATGACGCTGCCTGCTTGCTCAGACCGGGTCTATGGCGTTCTTGGGTTTCTTGGCATCCCGTGACGAGAGAAAAACTCTCTTATGGGGAAATCGCTTCACACACAGCTTCTCTGCCCACCTGAAGCATGAGCTCTGTGTGTGAACAGCCAGGTGCTCTGTGAAGCCGCAGACACGGCCTGTGAGAAGCGGTGACGCCTACGGCTGACACCTGCAGACGCAGATGCAACAAAGTGACGATTTTAAAAATCCCTTCTGGGCTGAGTGCAGTGGCTCACATCCGTAATCCCAGCGCCTTGGGATGTCAAGGCGGAGAGATATCGCTTGAGCCCAGGAGTTCGAGATCAACCTAGGCAACATGGCGAAACCCGTCCTTTTTTAAAAAACCCGTAATTTTTTTAAATCACCTGGTTTTGGTGGCACATGCCTGGGTTTGGTGGCACAAGCCTGGGGTCCCAGCTACCTAGGAGGCTGAGGCAAGAGGATCACTTGAACCCAGGAGGTCGAGGCTGCAATGAGCTGTGATTGCACAACTACACTCCAGCCTGGGCAACAGAGCAAGACCCTGACTCAAAAAAATAAAAAACATAGCCGGGCACGGTGGCTCAAGCCTGTAATCCCAGCACTTTGGGAGGCCGAGATGGGCGGATCACGAGGTCAGGAGATCAAGACCATCCTGGCTAACATGGTGAAACCCCGTCTCTATTAAAAAATAAACAAACAAACAAAACTAGCTGGGCGTGATGGCAGGCACCTGTAGTCCCAGCTACTCGGGGGAGGCTGAGGCAGGAGAATGGCATAAACCCAGGAGGCGGAGCTTGCAGTGAGCCAAGATCTGGCCCCTGCACTCCAGCCTGGGCGACAGAGCGAGACTCCGTCTCAAACAAAACAAAACAAAACAAAACAAAACAAAACAAAACAAAAAATAAAAAATAAAAATCTTTTCTGCCTAGAACTGTATTCCTTTGTTATCCCACACCATGAACCCTCAACATAAGCTTCCCTGCTGCATTCTCCATAAGCCAGAATTAAATAAAACTGTTTTCCACAGTTTAAACGTGCAACATGACAGCCATCTTTGTTTATACCAAGACCCTTGGCCGCGCCCATTTCCTTCTCCTGCCACCACCCTGATGCGGCATGCAGGGTCCCAGGAAAGTCAAGCACAGTAGGCAGGTGCAGGTGCAGCCGCACCCAACGGAGAAGAGGGACTGGCAGGCACTTAGGGCTGCACAGGCTCCTTGTCATTCCAGTTGCTATGACAACAAACATCTGAGGCGTCATCACCTTATCACAGTGACAAAAGGATCCGATTAAGAGCTTCTGGGGAAACAGTGTGAGCGAGAGTGCTTTAGAAAGTGCCAGTGTGTTAGCCGGGCATCGTGGCGGGCGCCTGGAGTCCCAGCTACTCGGGAGGCTGCGGCAGGAGAATCACTTGAATCCAGGAGTTGGAGGTTGCAGTGAGCCGAGATTGCACCACTGCACTCCAGCCTGGGTGACACAGCAAGACTCCGTCTCAAAAACAGAAAGAGCTAGTGTGACCGTCGACTGCTCTAGAAGGTGAGGGACGGAAGCCCTGGGGCGGGAGCTCAAGTGCTGGTGCCATTTCCATCAACCGTGGGCTCTCAGGCTCCGGTCACCGTGAGGCCAAGTCCACAGAGCGGTTGGACCAGCTGCACACCTGTCACTCAGCACTTCACCTCAGAAAGCAACAGGCACCTTGTCCCCACTTACTCCGTGACACTGGCTCCCCTTTCACTTCGGGGCTGACCCTGAACCCAACCTGAGCGTGTCAGGTTGTCTGAAAACTGGCAGCGAGGAGCGGGCAGAGGGGCCTTACCCGGAGTGTAGAGCAGCGCGTCCACCGCTTGTGGGAACGTCTCCCCTGCCGAGGGGTTGATTTTATGCTTCAGTGTTTCCACGGTTGTCTTCGGAAGTGCCATGGGCACTGAAACACAAGACACTTGGAGTGTTACTGTCACGGCCTCGAGGAGATGGACGCGACGCAACAGCCTCACGCGCTCTGATTTCTGCAGAGTATCAGCTTGCAGGTAAAACTTCCTAATTTGTGAAGACGAAACTCTCTTGGACCCGAGGCGCTGAAAGAAAGTCACGCACTCTCGGCCTCCTTTCCTGGTTGTCACCTGGTGTGCGAGTGAGTGGCCAGGCGCATCCCCCACCTGTGTCCACACCACGCCTCCACACCCCTATGCCTTGAGCTGCCTTTGTTTAATCGCAGCCTTCTTCTCTGCTCCTGAGCCATCCCATCTGCTTGCTACACCCAAACATGACACAATGCCCAGCAAAGCGGAAACATAACATTCTCCTCAGTAACGAAGGCTTCCGAAGATGAAACCCAGAGACCTCATCCATGAGTGCAGTTTCCCAACCTAGAACCAGGGGCACGTGGGGCTGGATAATCCTGGCTGTGGGCGAATGCCCGGCATCCTGTGTGCCGTGGGATGTTGAGCATCATAAGATGCCAGTAGCATCTCACACACAACCACAGATATCTCCAGGCGCTGCCAAATGCCTGTCCGCAGGGAGGGGTGCAACGTCGCCCCTGTTCAAAACCACTGCTCCTCAGGATATCCTAACGCTCCTCTTGCTATCCAATCCAACCCATGTTTCCAGGCAAAACCTAAAGCGGCCTCCCGCCTGGAGGCCCCTGGGGCCAGCCTGCTCTGCGGCCTCTCCTGCCATCCCCTGCGGGTGCCTCGGCCTCCTGCATCAAGGACTTCCTCAGTCCCCGCCGTCCAGGGCCTGCCCCTTAAGTGCTTCTCTTCCATCATTTTGTTACTCTCACAACCACCTGAGAGACTGGTCCCGTTATCCCCATTTTGAGAAAAGAAAGATGAAGAACCCGACACACATCAACATCCGTGATCGACTGAGGATCGCACTGTCAGCAGGGGGTTGAGCAGAACTCCGCACGAGGCTGACGGGCTCCACCGGGCTGCAGTGAAAGCCAGCTGGCCATGGCCAACGCCTCTTCAGCTCCTGCCTTGGATTATGACACCTTCGGTTATTATTTAATTCCGTACAGTCGGAGACCTTCCATCATGACTTGCCCATAAGCTACTAAATTAAGCTCAGGCTCATGTGTCATGAGCTTTACCCATGGGAAAATGTTTTCGGATTTGTGAGGAGGGCGCGGGAGCCAGCGCACCGCACCGAGTGACACCAGCGTGGCAGCCCCCCTCTGCCGTCATGCGCTGCTAGCAGAGGCGTTAGAAGGCTTTCCTGTAAACGCCCGACAGAGATTAGTCATGAGTTTGGAATGAGATCAACCGCTGAAGTAGGGCGGTTGTTTGATTTTGTTCCCAAGAGAAAAAAAATAGCAATCAATGTCTGGTTCCAGGACTGCTGGACAAAAGCTCCTTCAGGCCACTCGGCCGGCCTTGCAGGAACACAAGCACCTGGGCCTGGCTGCTGCTGCAGTTCAAGGTCCCCCGGGTCACGTGGGAGAGGGATTCTGTGCCCAGAAAGTGGCAGAGGTCCTGCAGTTGGTGACAGACGCCACAAAGACAGCAAACTGTACCCAAGCGAATAAACATGTAAGTGAGGTTTGTTCCTAATTCTGGGACAACGTTTTAAAAAGCCAGAGTCCCCTAGATCTATGCCCAAGGGAAATGAAAACAGGTGTGCACACCAGAGCTTGCACATGAATGACCACAGCAGCCACAACGCAGAGACCACGCCAGCGCTCACTCACTGATGAAGGGACAGACCAAACGTCCTTCACCCGAACAATGTCTATCACTCAGTCACAAAAAGACCAGAAAACCCTCGGCTTGCAGACCTTCACGAGAAGGAAATGGGAGTCCAGCAGCAGCCCCTGTGGCTTCCAGAATGCAAGAGCCAGATCCACATCTACAGGATGGCCAGAGGGTTCCTGTCTGGGACAGCTGACCCAATCAAGAAAACAGCGGATCCTGACGTGCAGGGCCTCTCCTCACCCATGCAGTGGCGAAGCCCATCAGTCAACAGGCCAGCTGTGCAGAGGTGCCCAGCTTCTCAGCAGGTGCGTTCCTAACTGCAAGCCCCAGACACGCGCTCCCCGCCAGTCAGAGATTCCAGGAGCCGCTCCACAGCCTCCCACAGGTTTCCACTGTGCTTCCGCCAGCCAGAGGAAAGGCTGCTGTTTGCAACTAAGAATCACCACAAATGCTTGCAGCGTACTCTGGAATGCTATCCAGACATACAAACGACGAGGGCCTCAATCGGACGGATGAGCAAGGGGCTCCAAGGTGCACTGTGCAGTGAAGGAAGGAAAGATGCCGGACAAGGTGTGCGACTCGAAAGTAAATTACAAATATAAAAGAAAAAACCGGGAGATCTGGGCTCGGTTCTACTTGATAAAACAGACATCAACCAGATAAAATCACTTAAGGTGTATAATCAGGACAATGATCCACGCTAAGAACGAGCATATCTTACTTTCTTTCCTCATCTTATCGAAGTAGGATAACTTGGAGGCAGCGTAGATGGCACCTGGTGACTGCAGCGTGCCCACGACGGCGTCCATCAGCAAGACGTGGGTCAGCGCCTGCTGGACGTACTGAGGGTCCTAGAACAGAAACACGTGCCTTTCAAAACAGCAAGAATCACTAAGGTCAGTTCACTGGAGACCTTGTCTCCTCACACAGAACAATCCTTCCGAAACACGTTTTTTCAAAGTGACATGAAGAGTTTAAATCACCGATGAATTTGGATCTTATGTCATATATTTTTTGTCTTAGTTAAGACAAATATGGATTGTTCATACCAGGGCTCGGCCAGTGTTTTCTAAAAGGGGCTAGGCAGGAGGCATTTCAAGCTTTGTGGCCAGTCTCAGCTGAGATCACCCGCTGCCTGCCACTGCGGCACGGGAGCACCCGGGGACATTTCATAAACAAGCAGGCAGGACTGTGTTCCAGTAAAACTTTACTTACAAAGACAGTCCATAGCCCTCCGGGCTTTGGTTGGACTCTGCTGGTGTATGCTCTGTAAACCAGGGGGTACAGCATCAGATGGCTAGTCCAAAAGCCACAGGGCATTGGGATCTTAGACAGGACCCAGTCACCCTCCGCCCTGTGACCGGGAACTTCCTGTACTAACAGCAGCCCTCCTGCTGTGGCCCCATGTTTCTCCTAGCACTGCCACTGCAGTGGGTGCCATCGTCCCCGGCATTTCTCTGAGGATTGGTGGGGCTATGCACTTCTTCATAACCTGGTGAGCGGTTCCCTTTCTATGAGTTCCACGTTCATGGTCTTTGCCCATTTGCTAAGGTGTCTTCCTGTCTTGTCCCGCCCTTGAGCAGCGTGGATGCCTCCCCTACACACCACCTGCCCATGGTTCCCTTCATTATGGTGCAATTGTCATTTGATATCATCAAAGCTATCAATTTGGCCCAAAGTAAATCAAGGTACAACAATCCCTAGAAAATCATCTTAACCCTGTGGAAGGAAAGCAGCACTGTCCCTGCCAAATTCCAAATCCTGTGACCGTGAAGAGTCGCTCAGAGCAGGGGAGCCCAAAACCCCCAACTCCGGCCTGCGGGTGTGGAAGCACCAGCACCGTCCAGCCCTTAGCTCCACTCTCTGGGACATCGCCAGCCCGGAGCGGGCAGTGGAGCACCCACACCTGCCCAGACCGCCCTGCGTCTTCTCATCATGCCCTTCCCTAGCGCCAGGAGGCCTCTCGCTGGGCCACACAGACCACGACATCTTCAATGCTTCTGTCAAGATGGTGCCCGACAAACTCACTCTGCTTAGGAGACCTAGACCTGACCCCGAGCACACACGGCTGAGAACCGCCACAGGACCCACAGGTGGTGAGAGGCCCCCCGAGGCAGCCACTGCAAAGGGCAGAGGGGACCCGCGTCTCCCACCTTGTGGTCATCGGCCAGCTTCTTCCCAGCCCACATCTCCTTCACCATCAGGTGCCAAAGGTCACACTCAGTTTTCAGGTTGGCTTCGAAGACTTCTTTCTTGGACGCCACTTTGATTTTTAGAGCGGGTATTCTCCTAAGTAGAAATGCAGTAGAGGTGCTCCTGACCTCCTGCAGAGGCAGAAAAGAAAGAGTTAGGAAGGTCACACTCAGAGAACACGTGGATTAACCAGAGACAGCGGCAGAGCGGGCTCTGGAACGAAGAGGCAGATGGGCTGCAGGCACGCACCCTGCTGGCACGCAGAAGGCAGGGCCCGGGGCGAGGGGCGGTATTCCCGTGGACGGCAGGTGGGATTCGCCGGGGTGCAGCACCTACACGCACCCACACAGCTGGGCTCGCCCAGTGTCTGAAGGTGGCGCATTCTTTCACATCCTGAAATACGTCTCTCTCCCGCTTTTTTTTTTCCTTACTTCCATCTCCCTTTCTTGGTACTTATTTACCTTTCTTTGGAATTCTAGAAGGAAGTCTGGCAAAGCAGGTGTGGAGAAAAGAATACACTGAAGGCCAACAGCAAGAGGTGGATCTACTGGCCGAGCATTTCCTATGGGCTGCGACTGTGGCTTGACTGCCCTTCCAGCTTCTATGACCACTCAGCAGGTGATCACATAAAACACCTGAGTATCTGACGTGCCTCTTATAGTCCCCTTAAATCTGGGAAAGCAACTATAAGGCGTAAGATGAATCAGGATGAAATTCAGATTTCCTCGACAGGGAAAATGACTACCGTTAACATATGATGCTAAAACTGTTCGAAGATTTTTTAATTGTTATAAAATAAACTTGTTATGTTTTACATGAACCAGGTCTGACTGTGACTAGAAAATGTGAGCTACTGTGGCTCACTGTGGCCGGCACACGGCAGTTTCTCAGTAGACATCTCATGGATGAACGAACGCATCCTACTGTCCCTAATGAGAATGTCAGCCCACACTGCTTCTTGCTTCCTGCCTCCCAGATGCAAGTCACTTGTGTTAGAAAAGCAGTTACCATTCTAAGCCTGCTCCGTACGTAAACGATTCAATCCCCACCACCCACTGAGAAGGCATCAGCCTTATTCCTGCTTTACGGATGAGCAGACTGAGGGACAGGAAGCCAAGGGGTCTGCAGAAGGCCTACGGCTGGTACGTGGCATGGCTGGCAGAGAGCTCAGGGCCCGCTCCAGCCATCTGCCTCCTAAACACAGGTGGGGTCCGGCGCCGCCTGCCCGTGCTGCCCTTACCTCTATATTTCTGAAGGTGGAAATCTCCACGTAGCCTGGCCTTCCTTCGGTTAGGAGGAACAGACGCTTCTGAGTCATGGCGATCTTGCCAACGCCTAGGTTCGTCCTGACGGAGCTGGACAACTTATACACACACTCGTTTTTATCCAGGTGTTCCATCACCAGCCACGGCAGACTGACCTCCTGGGCTTCTGCTTCTGTCTCCTTCCAGCAGTTGTAGAAATCTTTGAATGTTTCTGGGTCGATTTGTTTCTGCTGTCCTTAGTTTTATAAGAAGAAAAGAGAGGTATCTTACAGGCACGTACATCCGGAGCCGCAAGGGCCTCTGCGTGACCTGAAGAAACCACGCACTACCGGAACCCGGCACCAGGTGGCGCCAGCACTGGGCGCTGGATGGAAAAGGCCTAGAAGGTTTTCCGGGGCCTTCCCGGGCAGCCCAGGTGTGTCCAACTGTCAAGGGAGGGGCACACGATCTAGGCTGAGCCCGCAGCCCGTTCCAGCCCCCCGCTCTGGGACGGCCATGGGACCTGCTTCAGGTAGTCACAGCAACTCTTACCTTTGGGTAGGGAAGTCCTTCGGGACAAGGACAGTCTTCTAATGGTGACAAAGACCTTCCTCCTCACTAGAACTGGTGGCCACTGTCTCGGGGTCACGAGGGGAGCTAGTCCTAGGATGAAGCTAATGCCGGGAAGGTTGGATCCTTAGCGACACTGCCCTGCCACTGAGTCCGCCTCGCCTGAAACTGGCCTGACCTCCACACTTTTTCGTTACAAGCAAATCATTAACTTTTGTTGTTTGCAACTGAAATCATCTCCGCTGATGAGAAGCGGTCACCTTCCCGCGAGGCCAGCACGCACGGGCTCTGGAGTCAGAGGGGCCTGAGCCTGAGGCCCGCTTCATGGCTGTTCACAGAGACTCCTGGCAAGTCGTGGAACGAACCTGCTTATCTGTCAGCTGGAGATGGGACGACCCCTTGGAAATCTCAAGTCCCTGCCAGCAGGTCCTGCCAACTCAAGCCCCTAGCCTGCCTGCTCGGCTCTGCCTCCACCCTGTGTCCCAAGCCTGTCTGTCCCTCTCTCCATCCCCTGACGTGCGGCAAGTCCCCCTCAATTCTGCACAGGAAACCCCTCCTCAGTGGCTCCTGCCTTCAGAGCCAGCCCCACTCACAGCCTGCTTCACTCGGCACTCAGAGCCACTTTTCTAAGATGCAAGGAGGAGCTCCCGCTCCCGTTGTCAACACTCAGGGCTGCTTCTGTACACCACCGCCACATTCCTCCAAGATTGGGCCCCACCTACCCACCCCACAGCCCAGCCGTACCACGCATGCTCCCAAACAGGTCGTGTTGTTACACACACACACACACACACTCATCCTGCCTGCTCACACCAGGAAACTCCTACCCATCCCTCAACACCCGGGTAGACCTACGTGCCCATGCACAGCCTTCCCTGATAAGAAAGAGACATCCTGGCCAGGCCACTGCTGAGCTGCACACACGCTTCCCTTACGGCACTGCTGTGTCCAGCAATACTTGCTATACGCCAAGAACCACAATTCACTCGATATGGGGTCCTACTTACAGCCACCTTGTGAATGAGGTGGCTCATTCACAAGGGGAAACTGAGACACGGAGAGGAAAGCCCTTTGCCAGCACACCTGGGCTGTGAGGCCTGGCAGACGGTCTGCCCAGAGCTGGGGTATGCCTTCCTGCTGGTCGCTACTCGAAAGGGGAGTACCTGTGACCCCAGATCCTCAGATCCCGAGTCTGAAACCAGAAGACGTGGCTAGTGGTCCAGCTCTGCCACGCCCCTGCTCCGATTCCATACCGAAGCGTCAACAGCGACGCCTGTCTAGGGAATCTGCTATCAGGGCCACAGCTGAGTCCGGGACAACTGAGTTGTCACGGCAGCAACTTAAAGAGGAACGCCACGGGAAGACAGTCAGCGCTGTCACAGGCTCAGGAGGAATTTTTTTTTTTTTTTTTTTTTTGAGACGGAGTCTCGCTCTGTCACCCAGGCTGGAGTCCAGTGGCGCGGTCTCAGCTCACTGCAAGCTCCGCCTCCCAGGTTCATGCCATTCTCTTGCCTCAGCCTCCCTAGTAGCTGGGACTACAGGCATCCGCCATCTCGCCCGGCTAGTTTTTTGTATTTTTTTAGTAGAGACGGGGTTTCACCATGTTAGCCAGGATGATCTCGATCTCCTGACCTCGTGATCCTCCCGTCTCGGCCTCCCAAAGTGCTGGGATTACAGGCTTGAGCCACCGCTCAGGAGGACTCCTAGTCTCACTTCGGAGTCACAGGCACTGGGGGCCCTGCAGGGTGAGCTGAGCAGGAAGGCAGGCTTCAGCACATGGCGGCGCAGGCGCCAGGCGGTTATGCGAAAATCTCCACCAGGTGGCGGGATTCCCAATGAACTCTTTTTGCCTGTCTGTATTTTCTAGTCGCCAGATCCAAACAGAAGAGAAATATGCACCAGTAAGGGTCTCTCTAGGTGCAGGGTGATTGTTCCAAAGAAGTCACAGAAGACAAAGGAGGGTGCTGTGGCCCGGTGGGCGAGGCCTGTCAGGCCAGGTCTCTGCAGCCCCTGTGCTGGGCAGTAAGGTCATCTGTGAGGTCGCAAAGAGCATGTAGGTCCTCTCCCGACTCCACACCTAAGACTGTTTGCCAGAGTCCCTCTTCTGTTTCAGAAATACCATTCAACGCAGCCGCCTCCGCCTCGGCCTGGGGCGCCTCAGCCTACACTTCCCAAGGGTTCTGAGTTGCTGGATTTATTTTAGTTTTTATTTTATTTTATGTATTTCATTTTCTTTTTTAAAAAATTTAGAGACAGGGTCTTGCTCTGTCACCCAGGCGGGAGTGCAGTGGTGTGATCATAGCTCACTGCAGCCTCAAATTCCTGGGCTCAAGCCATCCTCTAGCCTTGGCCTCTCGAAATGTTAGGATCACAGGCGTAAGCCAAGGCGCAGACTCTGGGTTTAAGGCAGAAGCACCTGTTATGTGAATCACATCACATAAAACAATCTTTTGGTCAGGTGGCCAGGCGAGGAGAGGCCCAAAAAACAGGAAAAGGAGAGTGAGTGAGAATGAATGGGCAAAGCCATCACCTAATGAAGGAGCCAGACACCCTGAGTGTGGAGCCCCAGCCACGGGTCCTGCCCCTTGCACCACTCAGGGCAAATCTTCTAGCTACCTGGTCCACAGCAGTTACTGGGGCTGGGCAGGGTGAAGTGAGTGTCACCAGAGCCTGACACAGCTTCTTCTCACAGACAACAGTGCTGACCTCAGGGTGAGGGCACTCAGGGCTCTAGAAAACCCCAACCATGGGAAGAGCAGCAAGACCAAAGTCCCATCAGGCAAGAAGCAACACTCACCGCAGCTGCCGCCAGTGCTCAGCCAGCTGTGGACACCATGCCACCAGCACTGCAGCAGAACAAGACAGTGCATGCCCAAGGTCATTGTGCACACCCACCACCACGCATACCCACAGGCACGGTGCACACCAACCGCCACTGTGCACATCCACTGTGCACACCTACCCCAGTGCACACCCACACTGTGCACGCCCACCCTCACTGCACACACCCACAGTGCAGCACGCCAACGACTATGCTCACCCATAGACACTGTGCACACCCACCGTGCATGCCCACCACCGTGCACACCCACCACCATGGCACACACCCATACTATGCAGCATGCCCACCACTATGCTCACCCACAGGCACCGTTATGCACACCCAGACACTGTGCATACCTACCCAAGTGCAGCCACTGTGCACACCAGACACTGTGCACACCTACCACAGTGCACACCCACAGACACTGCACACACACCCCACCAGCACCATGCATACCCATGGCCACTGTGCACACCCATTATGCACACCGACCACTGTGCACACCCAGACTGTGCATGCCCACTATCATGCACACCCACGGCCACTGTGCACACCCACTGTGCAGTACACCCACCACTATGCACACCCACAGACACCATGCACACCCGCAGCCACTGTGCACACCCACTACTGTGCACACCCACTACTGTGCACACCCATGGCTCCTATGCAAACCCACAGCCACTGTGCACACCTCTGGACACCAGGCACACTCAGGAGCCTGTGCGATCCACAGCAGCTGCCATGCATGCGCTTGTTGCACAGGCCCACGTGGGCACAGTGCCCAGTCCTCATTTGACTCCAGTTTCACACAAACACCAGCTGTTAACCTCGCTCTCGTCACCCACACGCCTCCAATACAACTGTTCCGGCTCAGCTCGGTGGCGTGCAGGCGACGTCACCAATGGAGCTGTCCGTGGATGTCTTGCTTCCGCACGGCCACGCTGGAGGCGGCAGACACGTCAGCGTCCCTGGGGAGGGCCACCTCACGGGCAGCTGCAACAGGGAGCATATTGGCCTTGCGCTGTTAATAGCATATTTTGCCATTAAAGTATGTAATGATGAAATTGCAATAATTTTTTTGAATAAAATCTCTGATGTATTCTTGTATCACATAAATTCGTCCAAAGATGGTGACACTGAGCTCTGACCAAACTTTTTTTTAACAAATGCCCATTTGGCCAAACATATATTAGGTGCTGCTTTACACTGGTAACTTCAGGCTCACATATCCCAGAATCAAGACCATTTCCTAACCTAATCGGCAACGTAAGCAAGGCCAAAGTGACAACAGGGCCACTGATGGCATTATCCCAACCAGCCAGGTCTGCTGGACAGGGCCCACACACCCCACTGCAAACCCCCTTCCAGGGCTCCCTTGCAACTGGGCGGCCACATGACACGATTCTGCCCAATGAGAGGAAACAGAAGTCACTGTGTGGCAGGGGTGGCGGTGCCTTAAAAGGTGGACGGACCCTGCTCTTGTGGTGCTAATGCCCACGGCCGGCTCGTGACCGGGAGACAGCAGGCTGCTCCAGGCCACAGAGGAGTGACAGAAGGAGCTGGCCCGAGATGACACTGAGGAGCTGCCATGCATGCCCTGGACTCCTGTCACATGACAGACAGGCACCCCCAGTGGGATTCAGCCCCTGCCCTGCCCCACAGGTGGCTGCTGGGTGGTGCTCACCATCCACAGGAGCTCGACGGAAGTGGGTCCCACCCTGCCCTGCTTGGCTGGTGCCTCATCGCAGTGTCCCCAAAGCACAGCACGGGAAGTGACCACAGAGCATCTGAGCTCATCCTCATTGGACTCAACAACTGGGACC